GATTCAAGAAGATAGAAGATGGCGATTGACGTTGCATTTAAATTTTGTTAATCATTTCACCCCAGACAAGGCTCGTATGCCACTAGTATGCAGGGGGTTACAGAACGTGAAAGTGAGAAAAAACACTTAGTATAGCGAGGATTGTGGAAAGGATCAAGAAGATTTATGTTGCATTTAAAGTTTGTTAATCATTTCACCCCACTGCCTCTAAACTCAGAGGATCAAAACGAGTGAAATTGAGAGAAAAGATGAATATATGCCTAACGCATGTGTAGTCACATCAGCTTATACACACCTAGTCAAATTAACTCTTACTAAAACCTTTTAAACATTGTCATACATCTTTCCTACAAAGGTTCTTCATATGTAAAAGTTTATATATGGTTATCCCATATAAATAGATTTTTATTCGTATGGATGTTTTGTGCAAAGTCCTACTGAAGGTATTGGGAAACTTACGTCTTCTCAGACCAACGAGCAAAAATGGCTTCAAGCAAATAATTCCTCCAGGTTTTAAAGAAGATATCCTTACTTAGAACCTATAGACTGGCGCTGCACAATCAGAAGCAAAGTGCTTTACCAAACAACAGAAACTACACCATTTGAAACTTCAAACAGCAGCAACAATTAAAATAAATAGCACGTGTAACTAGAAGAAAAAATAATGAAATATTCAAGATGTTGACTTTCCACATACACACACACAGACACACATAACAAAAAAAAAAAAAAAAAAAACAACAACAAAAACAAAAGAAAACCCAGGTCAATAGCCTAGATGGTTCTTGATATAGTATTTGGGGATATAGTAATTGTGAATTCAATCTCTGGGCTGGGCAATGTGAACCTGGACTCTTTGGAAACTGTGCCAGCAATAACTGGGCAGTACTAAAAATAACTAGACGAGGTATCACACTACTTGGTCAGCTGATTGAGAAAAATCTACCAATTGGCGGCTAGTGCTATAAGCATACTTCCTTTTGATATCCTGTGTCAGAATGGAAGCTATCATGTTAATACCCTCGATACGCCTGAAATAAGAACGTTAAAATCTAGCGCATGCCGCGTAACGTTACGTTAGGCCGGCTTCCATTTTTGGTCTGTTTAATACGTGTTCTAAAATACGTGGTGCACTATTTGCTTGTAATTGGCTGCTGTCACCATTCGAGAAATGATTTTGTGCGTGGATTCCTCTAATTAAAATCGTTTTGTCGGCTGCGTTTGGAATGCTAACATAATTACGGGAAATGAACTGTATTTTATCCAGGTCCCCCCAAAAAAAGAAAAAGGAAAAATGAAAAAAAGTTTGGTAATTAAAATATTGCTACCAGCATGACGGGAATCTCCCACTCAATATTTTTTTTTTTTTAAAAAAAAAGCAAGCTAAAACTTTTTTTCACAAGGTGTTCACAGTGGCAAAGTCATGCATCTGCGAATCGTGATAGAAAAAAGCCAGTTGAGCAGACATGTTACGCATAAGTAGCCGCTCAAAGGGAATAAGTCTCCGACTCTATACGTGACGAGATAACAAGTGGTAGCTACCAGTTGGCCCACATTGCAACCGTATTTGAAACAAGGTCAAGGTTTAAAATGAGTCTAACGGCCATACCTTGTAAAAATTCCCAAGTCCTTTTGGCATTTCTTCTTTTGGGGACACCTCCGGCACAGGGTAATAAACACCTCCCACTTCTATGGGAGAGATACTGTATGTGGGGCAAGCCCTCTGGAACTTGGGCTAATATTCAATGAATACCAATCCCAGCCAAAGATTAGGAATTAGTTTAAGAAGAGATAAATAGTATCATAGCGGAATCTTTCCTTTTATGTGGTGTCATTACATAATTAAAAATGTGCGCATGCGCGATTATGTGCGCATGCGCTGATATGTGCGCATTTATGACATTAATGTTTTCTTTATAGTTTTCCATTTTATAGTTTCCCTGTTAACCGTAAGGTTATTTTTGAGCGATCTTAAATTTAAGTTTTTGAAAACTTGATATTTTTTTTTATATATGCTTATAAATACATGGTAAAAAAATAAAATCCTTTTACATGCCTTGATAAAGTCCATCAGACGACGAAAAGCGTTGGTAACGAAAAGTTTTCCTAAATATCTTTATTACCCCTCCACCATATGTTATAATTTTGGAATAAATTATATTTGCTCTACTCTGTATTGAGCACTCTTATAAGAATAGTATTTTTGGTTATTGGAATTTATTCCGTATACACCAATCCTATCCGTATATATATATATATATATATATATATATATATATATATATATATAGAGAGAGAGAGAGAGAGAGAGAGGTAACTACACTCGTCTGGGAAAACCTTCGGTTTCTTGAATTGCTAATGGTCAAATCAATTTCGAAGGAAAAAAAAAGGTTTAAAAAAAGAATGAACGTCTGCCGAAATTAATCGTACAGGTCCAAAGCCCAAAGAAAAAACCCCGATACGAGTAATCAACTAATTAAAAAAGTGCTCAATACAAAAGTAGAGCAGACATATATATATATATATATATATATATATATATATATATATATATATATGAACGTTTCATTAAATAATATAGACAAGTGTTGTCTATTTATTTTATGTAAATTTTTTCGTAACGTCTGATAAGTTTAATAACATTATCGTTGAACGAAGAAAGAAATTCACAATATTGATCCATATTTTTTTTAATACAATCTAAGCTTTCGGCTTACATAAGCCATTATCAAAGATGTCAATTACAACATATTAAGCAATATACGGACACGACAGTGATAATAGTCTGTCATTGTTTGCAGAGATGATTTCTAAGCAACGATAAACACGTGCATATAAGAGGCTAGAAGCGAAAATCGCACCGCATCACATGACGTCACACATGACCACACGAGAGAAGTATGGAAAGCCGTTGGTATAAACCAATGGCTTCTGTTACCAATTATAGACATTTAAGAATATTTGTAGAGATGCCATAATTGATTTTGTTTAGGTTGGGTTTCAACTGTTTGATGTATAATGCTTCAAGGATTTTTAGTTTTTGTCTATTGTTTTCATGTCGAAGTATAATTGTGTTTTCGACAAGTATTTTACGGAATTGTATGTGGGCAGGCATGTTGTTTTTAATGCCTAAAAATGTTAGAGTTTTCATTCAAATGTAGTGTCAAGCGTCGTTAAAACGAGTTTCTGGTGTGATGATGGACTCTCCCGTCGATTTCGACGTATGAGGATCCTCTAACGTTATTCAGTTTTTTTATGCTTGTGTTTAATGTGAAACTTCACTCCCACTAGTGACCTGCATACAAGTCCACATATTGTGCAACAGCAAAGATCTCGGGACATAGCAACAGGAATATTTGCTGACGCTTTTCGCCATTGTCTTCCGTCTCCTAACTGGTCAATACAACTGATTTCAAAATTTCTGATACCACACTGGCACAAATATCTCCAGTTATTTCTATCCAGAGCAACTTGCTTGAAGTCAGTATGAGGCACATTGACAGCTGAGAGGTTACTACTTAGCTTGTCTTTATACCTGAGCCATAGCCATTCAACACTTGTTTGTCCACTGTGAAGCTGGCTATACATGAGGACCTTAGGTATTCTGTTGTCACTCATCTTTGCAACATGACCAGCCCAGCAAAGTTGTGACTGCATCAGGAAAGTCTCAATTCCACCAATGTTGCATTTTGGAAGAATGCCAGCATTGACAATATATATAATAGCATTGATAATACAGTTTCCGATCGATAAATTTTCGTCTAAATTTCTTAAAAATGAAAATAACACCGAATTCTCATTTTCCAAGATCTATTTACCAAAATTGCATAAAAATATCTTGAAGAGTAAGTGGATTTCAATAAAATCGTTATTGGCTTCAACCACGGACTCCAGATGACTTCGGAATCTCCTGCAACTCTTCTGGACGGTCTCCTTGTTTAAGTTGATGAATGCGGTTATAATTTTTGCTTCCAGTTCATCTTTGATGTTACAAGGAGTTTTATTGGTCTCTCGCTCAACTGCGCCCGACACATAATATCGGGGTTGCAGTCTGGGGACTTGGGGGGGCGGTCAGATGTCAGGGCTAATGTAGTCGCAAGAATAATCTGACATACATGACTGGGTTTACTGCTTGCATATATATATATATATATATATATATATATATATATATATATATATATATATATATATATATTTCAATTAAAAGGTGCAATTATAATTTATAAATTCATGAATCATTCATATAAAAAACAAATATAGAGGTTAATGATTTAAATGGCGAGAATACATCTTCGCAAACAATATAAATAAGATACATCAACCCCGAACCTGTATATGAATGATATGATCCCCGTTTATAAATTCCAGTTGCATAAGGTCTTTTTAATTTTTAACAATTTAATCGCTATTTATATATATATATATATATATAAATATATATATATATATATATATATATATATATATTTATATATATATTTGGAATCGGTCTGCATAGGATAAAGGAAACCTTCTCTCTGCCGGCAGAAAGAATTTGTAAAGTCTCTTAATCTGTTGGCGGATATTTTATTTTAACTGTCCCTCGCTAATTTATTTACACGATTATTTCCCCCACCTCGTTACAAATATATACATTTGTTTGTTTTTTTTTTTGTGTGTTTTCCACCCTCTTTTTGCTCTTCATTGTCGTTAATATTCTTTTCGTTGATCCAACGATTGTCTCCTGATGAGATGTTGGTTGAAAGGGCCTTAGGGACTTTTAAAATTAAAATCAATGCATTTCTTGTTTTTAAAACTATATATAAATTTTGTACCTCTAAACATTTACATATATATATATATATATATATATATATATATATATATATATATATATATATATATATATATTAGTCAAAGCATTATTTGCTCAATCAATATTAAGATTGCTACACATTTACAGCCATAAAAAAATACGTAGATGCATTGTGCATTCAATCAAGAATAAATTTACTTACAATCTGAATCGTTCATTCCAGACTGGATCCAGGGTATTTTTCTTGACGGTCGTTGTTCGTATGAGTTTGGCTGGTAAAAGGTCTCTCACTGCTTGCAATCTGTCTTTTTTCTTATGCAGGCTACTGGTTGAGAACTTCTTCAACCCCTTTTTGTCCCTGTACTTTGGCGAGTCGTCGTCCGAGTAAGTGGTTGCCTCACCCGATTGGTACTCTACAGGCCGGCTTGGCATAATCCCCAACATGCAGAAGGGGTCACTGTAACCTGAAGTCAAATAGAAACAATCAGTTATCAGATAAACAAAAAAAAAAAAAAAAAAACAATACTTGTGTTTCGCTATTTGGATCTGAATCTTATTATTATTTTTTTTTCTTTGATTTCTGGCGTTTACACATTTCTTTCCGGGTCCCGAGACCTAAGGTTAGAAATGGCATCATGACACTTTCCACTGACAAAAAAAAAAAAAAAATTGCATAGATAAAGCCCTTCGTAAAGTGTGGGCTGTACTTGTCAGAACAATATTTTGTACCTCCTTGAGGCATAGACTTCCAGGAATCCCTTCAATTAGTCTACTGCAATCTTTTCCAACCAGTCCTAGGGCTCCAACTACAACAGGGATTGTTGATGTTCCCATATGCCTCATTTTCGAGATTTCTATTTCAAGGTCCTTGTATTTTGACAGGTTTTTGAATATCTTCAAAGATACATTGCAGTCTGCAGGCACTGCCATATCAATAAGGAGACATTTTTTTTGTTTGTGGTCTTTAATAACAATGTCTGGGCGGTTGGCTTTGATTGTTCTGTCAGTGTGCATTGTGTAGTCCCATAGAATTGTAACAGGTCCTATCTACGTAACCGGGTCTGTCGAACTCTCTGCTTGCAGAGGGGAACCCGGACGAGGCTCTGCCGAAGGGTAGGGTTTCGTTCGGGGAGGTTGACGGAACTAGCCCGCTTGGACGGGTTTAGATGGGTTTTATTTTTGGCTGGGCCTACGGGCTCGGACATACCCACATTAAAAAGGCCTTGTGCCACATTCAATTCCTGTGGGTGAATTGATAAATACCATCTACGTAACCGGGTCTGGGTGGTGTTCATACCATTTCCTTTCAGTTTCCTTCCCGTAGAAGTTGCAGATTTATTATTATTATTAATATTATTATTATTATTATTATTCATTTTCCCACATACTTAAGGAACTTTTACACTTATAGAACACTTATAGAACACTTATGCTTTACAAATATGAACATGCGGTTTTCTTTACATTATTTTCTTTGTTCAAACTGTTGTCCTCGTATCTATTGCCATATTCACGACGTTTCGGCCGTTGTAGGCCCCGCCCTTCTTCAGGTGATTGCAATTTCGAACTGAACCCTTTATTTCTTCCTCAAGGAAACATTGTCCAGTGGATAAAAGCATTGGTTGGATCCAGTGACATGACCCAAAGAGTTGTGAGTTCGATACCTGGCAACTGAAGTAGCGAACCAAAACTTGGAGAGATGAGTTAAAGGGAAATAACTGAGACATCAGAAAGAGGCATGGCAGGTGGAACGAGGACAATCTACCCCGATTGACGAAATAAAGGGTTCAGTTTGATATTCCAGTCACCTGAAGAAGGCCTGAGCGTGCAACGACTGAAACGTGGTGAATACGGCAATAAAGATGAGGACAACAGTCTGAACAATATAAATAGTATAAATAGGTCCAATAACATCTCGGTATAAAGGTAGATCCTGAAGAAGGCCGCAGCGTACAATGACCGAAACGTCGTGAATACGGCAATAAAGATGAGGACAACAGTCTGAAAAATGTAAATAATTACAATACCTCATCTCAGAAATATTGGCAGACAAGTGTGGTTTTATTTTATTTTATTGTCCAGATGTTTGTATCCTTCTGACAGGACAATATCCGTCAAGAGCAAACAGCCGATTCAAGATAATACTACTAATTATGCAAGTGGAAAATGGTGCAATTAAAACTAAAAGAACCGGAAGGGAGTTCCACAAGCGAGAAGTGTGAGAATTAGAAACTATTACCATAGAAATTACAGTTACGTCTAGCCAGCTCAACTCTAAAGTGATTAGACCTCTTCGCCAGTCTAGCTTAAATTCAAAAGGTCTAGGTACATCCGAACAATTATCATGAAAGTATTTATAGAAAAGACAGAGAGAGGCAAACGTACAGCGATGAGGAAATGACTGAAGCCGAGATGCCAGATCGAGACTGATAATATTGTTGATGTCTCACTGGATTTTATCAATGTAAATAACAGGGACACCGGACCATGCGTGAGAGCAATATTCTAAGCCTGGATGAATGCTATATATATATTTAAGTAACGAAAATCTTGGTAATCCATATGGATAATCCCAAGGAGGATGAAATCCTGAGAGCTCAATGTTAAGTCAGAGCGAATAATTTAATTTAAAGAAAAACAGACCACTTTAAGGCTCCAGGAGTTATAATTTATTTCATCAGAGAATTTTGTTTTTCTCTGGATCTTCAGACTTCACTTTCAAAGGTGAAACGAAAAATGAGTTTAACACACACACACACACACACACACACACACACACACACACACACATATATATATATATATATATGATAGATTCTGGAGAGAAGAATTGCCTCGCATGACACAGCGAACCAAATTTATTAGCAGCTGACGTAGCAATGAATTCAATATAGTCTTTCCCCTTCATATCAGCTGAGAACGTTAGCCTGAGAATGTGCAATGAGTCACTTTCTTGGAGGTTAGCATCAGACATGATGATGGAAGGCAGAGAGGGATATCTCAGATGATTAATAGAAAGAATAGTTTTGGAGGCGTTAAACAAACCATTTTTTGCCCCTGTTAACAACGGACTTTGATCACATGTTGAACATCGGCTGCCATCTTGACCTGATCAACTTTACTATCGAGACGGGATTAAATGGCTGTGTCATCAGTGAAGATACCAAGTTGAGTTCATTGTTTGCTATTCTGGAGCACCAGTCCACAATTTTCAAAGAAGGGTGATATTTGCCAAACTCCCCAGGTTTCGCTAATTCAGAACCTTTTTCACCTTTATTAAATTTCCCCAATACAAGGCTCGAGAGTTACTCAAGGTAGAGGGTTACTGTTGAAATGAGGTGTTAGATATGTGTGGATAAAATGGTGGTAGGAAATGGAAATTAAAAGCGAATAAAAAAACACTTGAACATATTTTTTTACTTACATTCACGTCACACCAAGAGACCCATAATACATTGCGCCGAAGGGACGCCTAATTAACTCTAGACATCACAGTATTGATGTGTCTTACGCAAGATAACCTGACGGAGACTATCCCTCTTCAGAGTTCTCTTTCACCTCCACTTGCTAACTCAAGATGGAGGAAGACTGATTCATATCTTTTCCAAGAGTATTTAGAAATAATGAAACAAAATCAATCAGGAATTGAACACCGTACACCGAATTACCTTTTTGAAGTGATAACAGTTACACTATATCTGCCTAACTGGTTTTATTATCTGCATTTAATTAGCTTAAATATGATAAAATATAATTCGCCTGTCACATTATAATTTGAGCTCTTTAAAAAAAAAAACATCCCAGTCAGATCTGTGCATATGTTTTGTTCTTGAAGAATTTATTCTTTTTTTTCTAAAATCAACGTTTTCGCCCCTTTTCATCTGTCTTCTTTCAAGGTGATTATTCCAGTAATTGCGTCCCTTCCAGTAAACATTGCGAGCAATAATTAGGAAGAATCAATCCAATTTGAATGTCGAGAGGACGACGGGTGAACGCGGAAACGTTCGCGACGGCATCACTTGTTTCACCTGCTTTTGTCCGTCGACTCTGTGAAATGGTTATCGCCCAGAGCCATAGCATTTCGATATAGCCATCAAATCTTATATACTCAGCTTGAATTAATAATTACAAGATGCGATGAATAAACTGTCTTCTAAATTACGCAAAAAGGAAAATAACACTGACATCTCATTTTAACAGATATATTTACCAAAATTACACGAATATATCTTGAAATACGAAAGAGTAAATTTATTCAATAAAATAGCCATTGACTTAAACCACGGCATACAGACGACTTTGGAATCTCCCGAATCTCTTCTGGACTGTCTCCTTGTTTAAGTTGGTGAATGCTGCCATAATCCTTGCCTTCAATTCATCTTTGGTGTTACAAGAAACTTTGTTGGTCTCTAGCTCAAGCGAGCACCACGCATAATAATCAAGCGGTGTGCCGTGTGGGAAGATAGGTGGCTAGATGTAAGGAGGGGGGTATGTAGTAGCAGAAATTGTCTGACAGCCATGACTATGTTCTCCTGCTATGCGGCATGGTGCAGAGTCCGGCTGCCAGACATAGGGTCTTTTTGAAACATCCTGCATACAGGTGCGATGGATAAATTGTCGTCAGAATTACACCAAAAATGAAAATTACATTGACATCTCATTTTTAACAGATATATTTACCAAAATTACACGAAAATATCTTGTAATACTAAAGAGTAAATTTATTGAATAAAGTCGCCAATGGCTTCAACCATTGTTTTCAGACGACTTCAGAATCTCCTGCATCTCTTCTGGACGGTCTCCTTGTTTACGTTGGTGAATGCTGCCATAATCCTTGCCTTTAGATCACCTTTGATGTTACGAGGAGATTTATTAGTCTCTCGCTCAATTGCGCCCCACACATAAAGGTGTCGCAGTCAGTCTGGGGAGTTAGTTGGCCAGTGATAAGGCAAAATGATAATAAATTAAGAAGGGTCTTAACACACAAAAGGGGATACAGACAAGCGATCACAGCTTCAAGACAGGGCAGAACAGGAGTATATCCGGTAATTGGCCTATTTTATTGGCTATGAAAGAATCCAAGAATGCATCTGTGTGTTTTATCTATAAATTGGGGAAGTGGGTATTTTTCAGTAATTCTTTCCAATTATGACATCACTGTGTTTTAGAGTCCCTGTGAGTATGTGGTATTGTGGTATATGTTCGATTGAATGGTGATGGATATGTTCTTGTGATGAATGAGCAAATTGTAATGAAGGCATTGGTCGTGAATCGGATTAGCTAGTTTTAGGATAGTTAGTGTAGACCAGCCTTTCTCACTCCCCCGAACTTGTGACACAATTGTTATTCAGTTTACATTAAATCTACTGTGCTACCATCTTTTGCGTAAAGAGGAGTTTATTCGCTGATTTCCTCTGTTTCTCTGGAGTTCAAATTATGTAGTGAGTGTTAGATTCTCCAGACCCTCTTTCCTCATTATAAACGCGAGAAATATTAACTGTTTCTTACTGATTGCAAGTAACAGCTTTCTCGTAGCTACAATTTCCTTAAAACTTCCTTGTTGCTCACATGATCAGACTATGGTACTCTTGGTGTTCGTTGAGAGAACCGCATTTATGAGCAGCCGACGTGACCAAATTTTGGAACTGTACGCATCACTTGAGGTATCTCTTATTGAGAACAGGAAATCACTCTAGAGGAGATTAGGACTGTTCAAAGAATGCTATTAAAATCAGTCAAATTTCATAATAAAAATTATGGCATGAAGAAATCTCGAAATCATTGTTTATTTTAAACATTTGTCTGTATTTTTGAGGCGAGGTACTGCAATTATTTACACTAATGTTCGGACTGTTATCTTCATCCTTATTGCCATATTCACGACCTTTCAGCCGTTGTATATTCCGGCCTTCTTCAGATGATATTTCTTGGAATTTCCCACCGAACCCTTTATTTAGATTGTTCTAGTTCCACGTACCATACCTTTGCATGTCTTAGTTTCGCCTTCATAAGTTCTTTGTTCTCTCCACCTTCAAGATTTTGTTCTCTCTTCTGAGGCCAGAGATTGAACTCACGACTCTTTGGGACAAGTCATATTTTAGGATCAATCAAGTAAAGCTTTTATCCACTTGGGGACACTCAGGTGAGTGAATTTTTGGGACTTATAAACCTAATGCTGCAATAATTATTTTTTACCAGAGCTCATATTACAACTAATAGTTTTAAATAGTTAAATAGAAACATTTCATAACTTACTTGGCTTCCCTGACTTTTACATCATACAATTTGAATCGTACAGTACATAACCTTAACGTTTTTCACTTCACATGTAAAACATTTGACTTTCTGATAACCCTGATGATGACCTTGTATAATGTCGAAAGTACTCGGTATAAATGAATATGTATGAACAAGGTAATTTTCTCTCTTCCTTTAATAGAGATTTTCAATATTCTTCCACATTTATTTTTAAGGTCGACCCCCCACTCTGCTTTTCCTCAGCATCATTGATATTAACCTCTTGGAAAGCGACTTGTTGCGTCTTCTTGAGCTAATGTTCTCAGCTGACATGAAGTAGAAAGATTATATTGAATCCATTGCTAGGTCAGATGCTAGGAAAGTTGGTTCACTATGCCACACAAGACAATTTCTCTCTCCAGAATCTATCCTACACATCTATAACTCTACCATTCGTCCATGTTTAGTATATTGCTACCACATATGGCCCGCTATATACCTTGAGGTTCTTGATAAAATCCAAATAAGAATCAGCAATATTATCGGTGCTGATCTGGCAGCTCGGCTTCAGTCACTTTCCCACCGCCATAAGGTTGCCTCCCTACAAATACTTACATGGTAATTGTTCGGATAAGCTCTTCGCTATGGTACCTAGACTTTTTGAATTTAAGCGTAGTACTAGACTGGTATCATCAATTTACAGTTGAGTTGGTTAGATGCAGACGTATGTTCTATGCTAACGGTTTCTTTCCTCGCACTTCTCGCTCGTGGAACTCCCATCCGTCTTCACGCTTTCCCGCCAAATCTAATCCCCAAAAGTTTAAATGCAGTGTCAATCGCTATCTACTGTCTCCCTGATCACTCTTTCCTCTTCTCAATCATTATTAATGTTTCCGTTCTTAATTCTTCCTCACCCTGTAACTCCTTGTATCTTAGTGGCTTTAATGCCTTGACTGGGATAAAACCGCCCATCCTCGCTAAAAAAAATAGTTTTTAATTAGTACTCCTTGACACAACTTAAACTAGAATACTTACAGTTCTTTGCTCTGTATATATGATAATTATTCTATTTTTTGTTAATGAAATGCTATACTCAACTTCATCAATGATCATTAGTCTCTTTGACCAGATGTGGTCGTAGGGTCGTTGCGCCCTTGAACAACTGACAAGTTCTTCCCTATATTCATACATATTGCGTCTTGACCGAGTATACTCGATAGAGACCATCGTTCTCGAGATTAAACTACAGTGAGTGCCCTCCATCTTGAAGGGTCGCCTTGGTCAGGGGTACATGACCGCTGGTTCCATTTGAGAACCCCCCCGCCTTAGACGTAGATTAATAATAGAAAGCTCTACGCCTAGCGATGCCGTGGCATCACTGCACTGGCCGTCCTTATAGCAATGGACCCCAGTCTATTTCAACGTACCAGATGACCGTTGACGGTATAAGAAGGTAAATCTACCCTTTGACAAATCTTTATAATACTGCTGGGTGTCTAGCCACTCACCTCATCCGAAAAGCCTGCTGGGGGAACCTGAAAGTTAATAATGGTTACATGGTGCCAGCACCATTCGTTAATAGATTACCGATAATTGCGAAACCTCAACGTCTATTTGAGTCGTTTTATTGCTAACTGTTTAACATCTATATAATAAATGCTAATATCAGTGTCACACTTTTCAACTTTACTCCTAGAGGCCGTAACCTAGCATATCATACCATTTTGGAATCAGGCTGACTCTGTGAGCAAATTAAAAAAATATCCCAGTCGGATCCGGACCTGCAATTGTGAAATTTTGGATTCCAAAGTTTTCATTACTGTGATGATTTTCGGGCGATTTTTTGCGACGAATTTATAACTTAAATTAACTATAATAAATTAATTTGGGAATAATCGAAATTAATTGAGAAATCCAGCGAAAGTCACCCATGAAATAAAAATAATTGTTTGTACGGAAAGTAAGGACCTACGTACATCAAATTGTCTTTAAATTAAGTGGCGACAGAAGAATTATTGTTGAACTTTTCAAAGGTAAGCATAAATATTAATGCAATACTTAAATGCAGCGATCAGTTTTGACATCTGTAGTTTATTGATGCCTATTCCATCTAATGCTACCTACCTATTGTGATGAAGGCCCAATGAAGAACCCTCCCCAGGAGTAGCTTAAAGGGCGCCCTATCGGTCGGCTTTTAGTTCTAATATAATCGTAGAATGGATCTACTTGTTGTTCTATTTGTCGTTTTTCTTCGGGATGTGGGCCACCACAACCTCCTACCCATTACAGGTTTTATCTATGTTTTTTTATTTTACTAAGTCTCCCACTCCGTCTGCTTCTTTTGCTTTTGATGTGCCTTGTGAGTATCTAATTTTCCAAGCGTTCCTTCCTCTTTATGTGTCCCAGAAATTCCGTTCCTCTCATTTTGATATTTAGAATAAAAGTTCTTTTTGTTTCCATTTTCATTCCTCGTTGTATTCAATGTCCTTCTTTAGAACCACATTTCTGCTGCCTCAAATCTCTTTCATCTGTCAGGAGATTGTCCAGCATGTTAGAAGCGTTGATATTACATAGCAGTCCAGTTTGGAAAATCAACACCTTCCTTATATCATTATCTTCTCTTCGAGTTGTATGTGCTATGCATTTTAGTTCTTGCCTCTCTTGGAATTCTCTCAGAACTTTACTCCCAGAAGTTTATATTTTGTTGAGAACAAACTATCTGGTTATTTAACCTATACAGCGTGAATATACAAAAGATCTAGAAGTACTATCAGAATTTATTATTAGCAGACCCAATCTTAACAACATAAGATACAGTTATAGCGTCATGACAGTAGACATATCAGGAAAAAAAAGATCTTGAAAAGGTAGAAAAGAAGAAACAATAAACCATCAATTATAAGAAGACAGAATATATGGTCGTTAGCAAAAGGGGTTGCCCAAAATGAGAGCTACAAATTGGGGACAAATAAAGCAAGTATGAAAATGTGGACAGTCTTTTAAAGACGACGGAAAATGTGACATCGAAATCTGAAGGCGATTTGGAATGGTTAAAGATGCCTTCCAAAAGCTAAGCAAAGTATTAAGAAATTTTCATTAGAAATAAAGAAGAAATTACCGACTTGCTATGCAATATCAATCCTGCCATAGATAACGAAGAGACTTGAGGCAAAAGAGATGTTGTTCTACAGAAGGATACTGAGAATAAAATGTACAGAGAATACGTCAGTTTAGTTGTCTTTTCTTTGTTTCCATCGACATTTTCCTGTTTCTTAATTATTTTTTTCTTTTGCTAGACAACTTTTGCTGTCCTGTGGGGCGTTCAGATTTCAGTGTCCCATTTTTCTGTCATCAGCCAGATAGTTAAAATTCGGCAAGTGCGTTGTGTTGTAATGGATATTGGCACAGAATAAGAAATGGAAGAGACGAATTCAAATTCAATCGGGTTCGTTATATTCAATTACGCGCATATACCCCCGGGAAAGGCATGAATCCACCCCCCACAGGATAACTAGGTCCTGTATCCTTGGAGCAGCCAGTCTACCACAGAAAGAAAGAGCCGCCTACTGCAGTAAAATCTTCTGCCTAATCAGTTATGAATCGAAAGAGACATGATCTTCCAAACGTGTATCACGTATGGCACTTAACTTACTGACTGTTGTTATCAAGGTTGAATAGCAGAGCAGACTGGGTCCTATAGCCTTGGTTGGTAACCAGTTTACTATTGAAAGAAACGGCAACCTACTGCGGGAACATCTGCTTAGTTAGTCATGAATCGAAAGAGACATGATCGCCCAAGCGTGTATCACGTATGGCACTTAACTGACTGACTGTTGTTATCATAGTTGAATAGCAGACCAGACTGGGTCCTATAGCCTTGGTTGGAAACAAGTCTACCATAGAAAGAAATGGCAACGTACCGCAGGAACATCTTCTGCCTAGTCAGTCATCTATCGAAAGAGACATGATCGCCCAAGCGTATTTCGCGAATGGCACAACTGCCTGACTTGCTTGATTTTGACATTTCCATTTCGTACTTTGCTGAAGTGATAAACATAATCTCAAGACTAGTCTTATCCATTATTACATTTTATGCTAAAGTAACGCTCAAACGAATACTGAATAGTCACTGGTCGACCAGTAATATAAATTTCGCCAATTATTCCCAAAATACACCAATAATGAGCAAATTTGGTTGTCAAGGATGCGAGTTCTCGGGGGATAACATAGGGGTAGATGTCGGATTGCAGGTCATAAGACGAAATGCTGAGAGGGGGAGATTCTATTAAGGTTAACAGAAAAGAGACATTGAATGCTGAGATAAGGGCCCAGGGGCAGCTTTCATATTAATAGAGAGAATTAAACATTTAAGTGAATGAATTTCGAGTAAATCAGAGTTTTAAGAAAGGCTTGCGTCTGGATATAGAAAAAGACAGCGAATATACAAAATCAGAACGAGGAATAAGACAAGGATGTATCGTCTCACCAGACTTATTCAACCTTTACGAGAAATGCTATATTTATCATCAGAATAATATCAGAGAGAGAGAGAGAGAGAGAGAGAGATTCAGCGATTCAGAAGGATTTAAAATATTTTTGGTTTAATTGCAAGCAAACAAATAAATTTGTTTGCTTGCAAGTTATTTAAAGCCAGAAAATATTTTTAAATCTTAAGAATTATACGAATGAAGAATTTCCAATTCCGAGCCATTATTCATTACACCACCCGTTTATCCAAGCTTACGGCACCTGGTATTCCTAAGCGGACAACCATCTATGTTGGGCCACGAAAACACACTCAGTAGATTTAGCATAGAAATGAGCACCATCTGGAAGTCATTGCTTATGACAGGACGCTAAAAATTCAGCCACTTGAGTACAGATTTAAAATTCTAAAATGGCACAACTGTATCGTCTAAAAGAGCCGTGCTCTAATGGTTAAAGCCTTGTACCCAATATATATGGTGATTTGGCTGTTGTGAGTTCAATCATTCGGTTGGGTTGTTCAGTCCTTGCTTCAGCGTAAGAGATGGACAAGTAGCATAAAGGTGATTAAGACTTGTGAGTATTCACAGAAATAAAACATTTTCTAAGCAAAGAAAACAGAAAGAGAACAATCTACCTTCATGGATGGAATAAAGGGTTTCGCTTCAAAATTCAAAGTTACTGAAGTTGAAGGCTGGAGGGTAAAACGATCAAAATGAGGATACACGTTTAATTAATAATTTATTATCCAAATCATGGAATCTTATTTCTTTTAATATATAACTGCGAAGTATTGAAAGTGGAATGGGATATATCTACGACCATTGATGAAATAAAGAGTTACGGTTTAACATTCTAAGATTACTGAATACGAAGAGAGATATCTGAAGAAGGCCGGTCGAAGCATTGTAACAGTAACAACAACGATGACACGGCTGGTCCTAATAGCAAATGTATAATATGACAGGCGTCAGAAGAAGGTCGGAAAGTAAAACGGCCGAGTATAATAACGAAAATGTGCCTGTTGGTCCGAATAGCAAAGCATATTATATAAGACAGTTGAAGAAGTCCGGAGAGTAAAGACGGCCGAAACGTTGCTAGTATAACAACGAAATTGGTCATGTTGGTCAGGATAGCATTCCTATAATATGTCAACAGCCAAAACATTGTGATTATATAACAACGAAGATAGGCATGTTGGTCCGAATAGAAAGCATGTAAAATGACAGACACCTGAAGAAGGCCGGATCGTACAACGGCTGAAACGTGTGAGTAAAACAACGAAGATGGTCATATTGGTTATAATAGCAAATCTTATAATATGACAAACACGAAGAAGGTCGTATCTTACAACGGCCGAAACGTGAGTATAACAACGAAGGTGGGCATGTTGTTCGAATAGCAAATCCTATAATATGACAGACAACTGAAGAAGTCCGCATGGTAAAACGGCCGAAACGTTGTCAATATATAACAACGAAGATAGGCATGTTGATCCGAATAATAAGCATATAATGTGAAAGACGCCTGAAGAAGGCCGGATAGTAAAACGGCCGAAACATTGTGAGTATAACAACGAAGATGAGATTGTTGGTTCAAATAGTAAATCCTATAATATGACAAATACCTGAAGAAGGCCGGAGAGTAAAACAGCCGTGTATCTTTGAACCTTTGAAACTTTGACTTTCACCCCTATGTCCATATCCTTCAGTAATTCCGCGAATATTAAATTAATTTAAAACAGATTATGCATTTTTGTTTTTAACAATCTAATCTCTATAATCTTGCATATATTGTATTGCATAAAGATTTAATTTTGCTTATATTCACTCTGTCGTGTTTTTGTTTTTTTTGCAAACTTCGCCTTTTAAATATATAGTAGGATATGATGTTGTCATAAGATAAGATCACCACAATGCTATAAACTTCGCGAGCATAATCCTGAAGTGATTTATCTAATTTGGTCTGTCTTTTTTGTCACGATATCGAAGAAAGAGTGGATCTGTCTTCAAAGTTTTGTTTTTTTATACATTGTTCACTTTGTGCGTGTGTAGACGGGTTTCCTTTTTGATTAGGCTTTCGTGTGGAAATTACGAAAATGCCATTTTGATCCGATTTTTAAAAAGAAATTATCGATCGCATTTTGGAGCGTAAAAAAGAAAAAAAAAAAGAAAAATAACATAAAAAAACCCCAAAACAATACAAAAATGATGAAACGTTCACGGATTAATTTTACTTTCGAAATCTCGCGCATTTACGCGAAATCACGCTGTTTGGGAAGTTGTTAATATAAATGCAGTTTTAACAGAAACACGCATCGAATGCCAACCAACAACAGATCTCAGTAGCTTGAATAAATTTCATATTTTTATGATAGACCTAATCTTGATGATGTCATGGTTTTATGATAAACGAATTTACTTGTTCTATAGTTTTTTTTATTAATCAATTCAGCGCCAAGCAAGGTCACTAAAACGCAAGGGACTACTGAGAGTGAAAGAGAATGAAAAGATTTTAGAAGGAACCGGAAACCCAATCCTAAAGAGTAAACAAAAAGAGAAACCTCTACTCCTGTTTATAAAACGGATAGGAGTGTCAGCTAGACGATAGGCGAGCCTTTATATTGCTACAGAGGAGAAAATGAAATAAAATAAAATAAAAATTCAGGCGGGAACGTTAGAAGTATAGCGTTGAAGTTGACAAGGAAGCAGAAACCCAATTTTAACCAGGAAACAAGGTATGAATCGCTAATCCTGTTTAAAAGACTAGCTATTAATGTGAACGATATGAGAACCTATCTAGTTCTATTGAAGGAAAATAAAAAAAAGAATTTAAGAGGAAACGTAAGTAGTATAGAGTTGAAGTAAAAGGAACCGGAAGCCAAATCCTAAATACGAAACAAAGGATAAACGACTATTTCTGTTTAAAAGCCAGGGAAGGAGTGTAAACTATTGGGCATTTAATGTTAAGTGATACGAAAGACAATTGGGCGTCATTAAGTCTGTCATTGAAATCTCAGGGGAACTAATTTTGCCGTTTAAAAATCGTTTGGTGTCAGATTGCTTTTGATTTTGCACATAAACAATCGACTATTATTGCGCATTGCAAGTATTTCTGTGATTACCAGATCTGTTCCTCATATCCGTCTACATCTATCTATATATCTATCTATCTATCTATCTATCTATCTATCTATTCATATCTATCTCTCTATCGCCTTCTTTCACAATCTGTCTGTCTGTCTCTGTCTGTCTGTCTGTCTGTCTCTCTCTCTCTCTCTATATATATATATATCAATTGAACTATCTATCTAAGTCTGTTCATATCTATCTCTTTATCCCTATCTCTCTATCCATATCTATCTATCTATCTATCTATCTATCTATCTATCTATCTATCTATCTATCTCAGTCTGTTCATATCTATCTCTTTATCCCTATCTATCTATCTATCTATCTATCTATCTATCTATCTATCTATCTCAGTCTGTTCATATCTATCTCTTTATCCCTATATCTATCTATCTATCTATCTATCTATCTATCTATCTATCTATCTCAGTCTGTTCATATCTATCTATCTATCTATCTATCTATATCTATCTCAGTCTGTTCATATCTATCTCTTTATCCTTGTCTATCTATCTCAGTCTGTTCATATCTATCTATCTATGTGGCTAGGATCAAAGTGTAGTATCTGCGCTGTTTGTGAGCTGCCGGGTCCTTGGTGTCTGTCGAACTCTCTGCTCTATCAGAGAGGAACCCGGACGAATCTCCGCCGAAGGGTGGTGTTTCGTTCGGGTGGTTGATCATTGAACTAGCCCGCTTGGACGGGTTTAGATCTATCTTTTTTTTTTGGCTGGGCCTACTATCTATCTAGACATACCCACATAAAAAAGGCCTTGTGCCACATTCAATTCCTGTGGGTGAATTGATAATCTACCATCTATCTATCTATCTATCTATCTATCTATCTATCTATCTATCTATCTCAGTCTGTTCATATCTATCTATCTATCTATTTATCTATCTATCTATCTATCTTATCTGTTCATCTATCTATCTATCTATCTATCTATCTATCTATCTATCTATCTATCTATCTATCTCAAGATGATTATACATATTTAGATAAATACAAATAGACTAAAATAGAAAAGCAGCACTCTCAATGTCTTTGAAATAATCTGTTTGATTGATGATAACCAATAAAATTGAAAGTCTACATTAATTTTCCGTTTGACCGACTCACAAGTGAAGTTGATGTGGCGATAATCCTTTATCTAAAGGCAGCGACTGCTTTTCTAAATTCCTATCCTCGTCTCATCAATAACACATTCCAAATTTAGTAGACTTATAATCAATAAATAAAGACATTTGGAATGTCAAATATTATTAAAAAAAAGACCGTGTTTTGGTTTCATGCGTGTGATAAATATCGCATAATATCGTCGATAAATGTGCTGCGTAATCTGTAAGAATACATTAAAACGAAGTTAACTGAAATATGCAGAACAATTTACGGGAAGCAATTCCACTCTCTTCTTATAAAGCGGTGAATGACATTGAATGCTGGACAATTCTCTTGCATGAAGAATTGATCAGAAGCAAAAGAAATGTAATTCTACGGACAGATACTGAGAATATCACAAGCGAAAAATGTGAGCTAGGAGCAAATTTTAAGTAACATAGGAAAAAAAAAAACAAACAAAAAAAAAAAACAATTATTTTTTTATAATGAATTTCACCTCATGCAAGGCAATAAAGCCACTAAGACACAAGGGGTTACTGAGTATGGAAGAATTAGAAAACAGAAACATTAGAAATGAGCAGGAACGAAAGGAGAGTAACCAGGAGGACAGCAGATAGCGACTGGCATTGCATTTAATTTTTTGCAGATGGCTGAAAAGCATGGAGCCGGAAAGAAGGTCCACAAGCGAAAAGTGTGAGCATAGAATTTACGGTTACATCAAGCTAGTTCAAAAGCAAATTCATGAAATCTCGACTCCTGTCTATTGGTACGTTTAAATTTAAAAAAACTCTACCTTTATTTATTTGTATTTTTATACAAAATGTGGCATTTAAACATTGACCCAAATATACCACAATATTCCTTACACCAAAACAATACAGTCTTACTTACTTTTCTTATTACATTCACCATAATACCTCATTGTCTCTATGAAAATCCTAACTAGTCTCCATATCTACAATTCATTGTCTGTGGGGGAGGGGAATAAAAACAACAATTTAAAAACTAGACACAATGAGTATTTACAATATCATAGCGAAGAGCTCATCTGAACTATTGCCATAAAAGTATTTATAGAAAAGACACAGGAGGCAACCTTACGAGGGTTGGAAAGTGACTAAAGTCGAGCCGCCAGATCAGGACCAATAATATTGCTGATTTTTCTTTGGATTTTATCAAGGAGTTCATGATAAATAGCAGGAGCACTGGACCATATGTGGCAGCAATATTCTAAGTGTTGTGGTAGGATCCACCTAATTTGCATAGTGGAGTACCGACCATATAAATATGGTTGGTACCGGGAAGAGAGAGAGAGGAATCAAGAGATTCAATCCAGAGACTCTGCCCGACTGCGACTAAGTCAACACATTCTCCAGGAACGGTCTTACCAGGAATATACAAAAGACTATATGTAAATATTGTGTACACTTTCTTGTTTCAATACATTTTGTTCTAAGTACATTTTGTGTTGCATTATTATTCCATGCATTAGTCAAGTTTCAACACTAAGCATGGACGAATGGTACGTTTATAGATATGTATGATAAATTCTGGAGAGAATAATTGTCTTGCACGACTGAACTGAAGTTACTTTGAATTAATCCTAACATCTAGTCAGTAAGTCCTGTTTTCTTTTTTAGCTCACTAACCGAAACACGAGGAGGCACGGTGGAGTAATAGCGGCTTGGATTGAGGAATCGGAGAGCCGAGTTCGAATTCCAGTCGAATCTGTTACATTCACTTACGTCCTAATAGCCTTGGGAAACGTATGAATCCTCCCCCGCTTCTTCTCCCCACTACCAACTACGGGTAGGACAGACCGAGATCTATAGCCTTGGATGGCAACCTGCTGCGGGAAAAATCTGCCTCGTCAGTCATGTATCGAAAGATACATGATCGCCTAAGCGTGTATCACGTATGGCACATAACTGAACCAAAACACACAAATAATAATAAAATCTCTCTTGTTTATTATAGAAAAAAAATACTATATTGTTTGGACTGTTCTCCTAATCTTTATTGCCATATTCAAGACGTCCCGGCTGTTATACACCTTCTTCAGGATGTGTCTATATTTCTGAGATAATGTATTGTAACTATTTACACTATTTACTTCCTTCGGACAGTTGTACTCATCTTTATTGCTATATTCACGACATTTCGGTCACTGTACTCTCCGACCTTCTTCAAGATGTGTCTACATTTCTGAGATGGTGTATTATAACTATTTACACTATTTACACCATTCGAATTGTTCACCTCATCTTTATTGCCATATTCACGACGTTTCGGCCGTTGTACAATACCTCATCTCAGAAATATAGACAGATATCATTTCCCTTTCTTTTTTTTTGTTGCAAACTTGACACCATAATGAGGAAAGAAGACGTCGAGAAATCAACACACACTGGAGTAAATGGGTTTGTGTAAATGGATGGCAAAACAAGAGGTCAAACTTAGAGTTCAGAGGGAAAGGAAATGGTGAAGAATAATGATGATCCACATTGAAAAATTACTTGCAATGTCGTTTTACAAAAGTAGTAGATATTATCTATTGGTATAAGTAATTTTTCATGATCAAAATTATATACATAAGCAATAGAATATTAATGAAAAAAATACATTACGAATAAAAACACCTGTACTTACCAGAAAGAGAGACATTATTTGCATTATTCGGACTATTGTCTTCATCTTTGTCTGAAGTGTATGAATTTCTGGGTATTATTAACCTAATGTCTTCAGCAACCATTTTTACCAGTGCTCATATTGCAATTTTTTTTTTTGCTGTCATCATTAAATGTTTTTACCAGAGCTCAAATTACAACTTTTGTTGTTATTATCGCTTTTCTCTGGCACTCCTTATTCCTGGTTCACATATTGTATTCATTTCTATGCTTGGTCGGCTCAGGAGAATTTTGTGGCCCAGCATATGTGCTGATTCCTTAAGTTCACGAATTTTCCAATGGTGTTCCTTGTCTATGATCTCAACCTGATCCCACAGTGGGCAGTGATCTCCATTTTCCTATGTGGTCAGCCACGCCTGATTTATCCACTTACCCTCGTGTTACAGCTTTCTGGTGTTCTTGAAGCATTACCTTAAGGGGCGGCCTGTCTCTCCTTTAGGTTTATAATACCCAGAAATTCCGTCCTCAAGGACACATGGCACAGTGGATAAAGGCGTTGGTTAGATCCAGTGACAGGACCCAATGAGTGTGAGTTCAATACCCGGTTAAGGCAGTGGAGAACATTCAAATTAACCAGAGATAACTGACATCCATTAAACATGGCACGTGGAACTAGAACAGTCTACCCAAGTGAGCGAAATAAAGGGTTAAGTTCGACATTCTAACCACCTGAAGAAGGCCGGAGCGTACAACGGCCGAAACGTTGTAATAAATATGGCGACAAAGATGAAGACAATAGTCCGAATAATGTAAATAATGTACATAATACCTCATCTCAGAAATATAGACAGATAGTGAAAGAGAGAGTTGAAATTTCTGCTACATATAATTAGGAAAGAGGGCTTAGAGAATTAGGCACTCACAAGAAATACTGAATAGAAGAGAAACAGTGAGTAATCTACTTAAGAAACTTGTGGAAATGAATGGCAGACAAAAGACAGAGAGGGTAGTCAGGTGATAAACATTGCTAAGCCCTGCAAATGATGAGACATTGTGGAGAGCCATGATCGTGTATATATTGAATGGACGCAGCATAAAGAAGAAAAAAGTGCAAAACGTTAAGCTCTATCTATCTATCTATCTATCTATCTATATATCTATCTCAGTCTATTCATATCTATCTCTCTATCGCCCTCTTTCTCACTCTGTCTGTCTCTGTCTCTCTCTATCTCTCTCTCTCTCTCTCTATATATATATATATCAATTTAACTATCTATCTCAGTCTGTTCATATCTATCGATCTTAGTATGTTCATATCTAACTATTTATTCATATCTATCTATCTATCTATCTATCTATCTATCTATCTATCTATCTCAGTCTGTTCATATCTGTCAGTCTGTTCATATACCAGTCTGTTCATATACCAGTCTGTTCATATCTATCTCTTTATCCCTCTCTCTCTATTCATATCTATCTATCTATCTATCTATCTATCTATCTATCTATCTATCTATCTATCTCAGTCTATTCATATCTATCTCTCTATCGCCCTCTTTCTCAATCTGTCTGTCTGTTAAGTTCCAAGAAGTTACTTTTGACATTTTTTTAATTCTAAGTCATCATGGATTGTACTTTCGAAATCCTTCAATAGTTTAACCCGCCATCAGCCATTTTTCCCTTTTACGCTAAAACGTTTCTCAGGTTTTTAAAATTTCCAGCAAGGCGGCGTTTTACCTTCAAATTCGAAATCTATAACCTCGTTCCTCGAAATTTCGTTCATCCTATTTTCTCCGGTCCACATTGAAGCTTAAGTCCATCACTCCTACGAGACATAAATACAATTTCAAGTTTGAAACGTTAAGTCCCCAAATATTATATAATTCTTTTCTTTTCTCATCTATCTATCTATCTATCTATCTATCTATCTATCTATCTATCTATCTATCTATCTATCACAGTCTGTTCGTATTTATCGATTTCTCCCAGTTTATTCTTTTCTGTCTATGTATCTCTAGATAGACAGATAAATAGATAGAAAAGAAAAAGATAGATAGACAGATAGATAGATAGATAGATAGATAGATACGAGTGGTACATAAAATTTTCAAGTAGGTTTCCGATAGATTAATGCTCTGTAAACATATTGTATCCGTTGTTACACAAGAAAAATTAAATAAAAAGTTTGTCATCTTTAATGGAACATGTATCAATGAAGGATTGCCAAAATGTACAATATATATATATATATATATATATATATATATATATATATATATATATATATATATGTCAAAGTTTTTTCAAAATTATCTTTCCTTACGTTTGGATACGAAACTATGTGCAGATACACATAGTTTCGTATCCAAACTTAACGAAAGATAATTTTTAGAATGAAATTTATACTGAGAGAAAATTTGCTTAAAAACATGACATTGGCTTCATCTGACCGTCTGTTCCTTCATGGTCAAGGGATAATGGAAGCTCTCTCTGCCCTGAGGGAAGAATGTTCGTTTTACCTTTAATAAGATTTCTCGAACATTCAGGTCGGTAGGTGAAAATAAATAAATATAATTTATAATAAATAAACAATGCGCCTTTTTTAAATACGAATATCCACTAAAAAATAGCGTATATATATATATATATATATATATATATATATATATATATATATATATATATATATGACCCTACTATGCTGTGCAGTCGTCAAAATCAAGAAGAAAGAACGCGCATGTGCGAAATTAAAAATATAAAATGGCGACAATTTACCCACCGTACCCTGTATATTTATTTAGTAGAGAATATAATATTCTTGGAGAATATAATAAGGATAAAACAGCGGAGGGAATAAATTTATACCATTGATGGAAGTAACAACTATTTCCGTCAAATTCAAAATAACCAATTCTCACTCTACTATAATGTGCACCCCCCAACAAACAACACGCATGCGCGAAATTAAAAATATAAAATGGCGGCTGAATGTATACAATTCTTCTTTTAAATAGAAAGACATCAACTCGAATTCCAGCCACGTTCCTTTTGCGTGGCTCAGAATAAACGCACCTACCATTCAGTCTGCATCACACTACTACATCGTAAAAGACAGCCATGAACTAGCTAAAGAAGTAGTCGAAAACGTCTGGGACCATGGACACGACGGAAAAAAAAACTTAAGAATACTAGAAAAACTATTTATTATTTCCTTATCTGTCATATTCAAAGAAAAATGTTTAAAAGAAAAGTTGCTATATGCCTGATATATATAATATACATTATATACACCGGGTGTAACAACAAAATTATTCAAATCGTGTGACAACATAATTATCCATCCCAGGAAATTTTTAATATCTAAAAATTAGTAAACTAACTGAGTTTCATTTCTAGATTTTACATAAGATGCTTAGCTATCCTGATGCCAATTTTCATAAGAATAACTGGAAAACCCTTTGAATTATTCAGCTAAAAAGAGAACAGGTTAAAATCGTTTTGTATCAGCCCCACTGTCTTCCGAACTAAGCTATGCTGAGAGAAAAAAAATATCATTCATGTCTTTCGCAATGGTACCAATATTCATATTCTGGCTTCCGTCTTCAAAGTTCATTCAAGAACCATCAAGAGAACGGCGAACAAGTTTAAAAAAGAGTGAACAGTAGAGAGGAAAACTGAATCAGGAGGTCACAAGAGATCATCATTTCAATTTAGAGTTAATGAGAACAACTAGAAAAGATCCAACTCAATTCATAAGGCGTTTGGAACGTGAGAGAGGGGGGTTCATATATGACAGTCTAAGGAGAGTGAAAAAATAGACTTGAAAATGAAATCATACGTGAAACTTTGGAGGCACCTTGCTACTCCATGATAGAAAAAGGTTAGAGATGGCGAAGATCATATTAAATAAGTTGGAAAATGACCCTGAATAATAATAATATATATATATATATATATATATATATATATATATATATATATATATATATATATATATATATATATATATATATGTGTGTGTGTGTGTGTGTGTGTGTGTGTATTTGAACTCAATTTCAGTCCTTCATGAGCTTCTGATCCTTAGCTATGATTAATTAATGATGAACATGTCATTTTCGTTTATGATCGATTCATCACGATACTTTCTGATAAGCTCGGAGAATAATCATACATTGTTATTAGTCAAAGTAGAGTCCAGTAGTGTTATAAAACCTCAGAGAATTCCAGTAAGTTATCTTTAATCATTTATATGATACAACGATTCAGATCTTAATCTAAAATTGACATTTTTCTGTTATACGATTTGGACAATTTTGTTGTTAGACCTGATATATATATATACATACATACATACATACATATATATATATATATATATATATATATATATATATATATATATATATATATAATAATATTTTTATTATAATAAATTACAATAAAAAAGATTAAAAAAAATTACAACAAATAAAAAATTACAATAATTAAATTAAATAAAAACATAAAAATAAAAAATGTTTTTATTGTAATTTCTTATAATAAAAATATTATAATATTTTCCTCTACTTTGTAGTGAGCACTTTTTAAAAATCTAAATGCTACGAACTGTGGATTTTTAATCCATCTGTTCTTTCATATATACATACATAAAGAAAAAAAATGTACCACAGAATTTAAATATGGCTTTGAAAATGACGGAACGCATTCTTTTAAATGGAACTTTTTCGACTTACAATTCTTCAGAAAGATTCATTGGAACGACAATAGTCACAACGGCGAAACTGAAAAATTGAACAACGTGTGCCTGCCTCTATAAAACAGGGTAACAGTAGTTAACAATAATCGCTTGACTCGGAATCCAAAATTCACTTGAGGATGAAACAGAACTAGGTACTTTAATTTAATTTAATTTCTATAATCGAAGTTTTTAGCTTATGTTTTTGAAACATGTGAACTCTTATGTAGCGATGGAATCATTTTTTTTAAATAATTAAAGCAATACACTAGATTTGGCTCACTGATAGAAGCTCTGACCAACACCAAATCGGTTGGGTTTCGATTCGGGCTCGAGGCATTCGGTTGTCAAGTCGCACTGAGGAGCTATGATACAGCGAAACACTACTGTCTGCGAATGATATATATATATATATTTTGTTTATACGATTTTTTTATGGATACACTTGTTTGAGAGTTTTGCTTTTTTTAATTAAGCAGTATTTACATTTACATAAACAGAAAATATATTAAAATATTTACCGGATTTCATATATGTTATCATTGTTTGCGTTAAATTACAGTTTCAGAGAAGATATGAACGTGAAAAATCGGTGAGAGTGTGAGTTTAAAAGCAGGAATTAGAGATTTGCTAAACCGGAAGTTCCGTATAAGATACAGGTTCGATTCCTGACGCATGACGCCTATTTTCCAGGAACATTCAGGCCAGTATATGTAATTGATACTGTTTAATAAAAAACCCCCAAAAAACAGAGTATTTATTCAAATATATTTCGTATAATATATATATATATATATATATATATATATATATATATATATATATATATTACAGTTCAAAAACTTGAGGCCACTCTTAGTACTTTTAGTTGTTTTGTACTAAGAGAAAATTATTATACATGGTTAAAAAAATGAGATGATTTTTTTTTATTAGAAATTTTATTATGACAAAAAGAAAATAAGTATTTTATGATTAAATTTTGCTCTCGTCAAAATAACCTCCTTTAGCCTTGATTACTGCAGCACAAATTTTTGATATTCGTTGCAAAAGTTTCTCAAAGTATAAGTTTGATAATTGATTCCATTCTTTTTTCAATGACTCTAAGATATCTTTTTCATTTATTCCCTCTTCTATCAAGTTCATCTCATGCTAATTCTGGGGGATGCTTTAAACATTTGAACTGTAGTATATATATATATATATATATATATATATATATATATATATATATAATCATTGTTTTCTCTACGTGATCGCTTGTTTTCCCAGTGTATTATCCGATGTTTTATTCCGATATCCAACGAATTCCTTTGCTGTTCTTCTCTCCTGCATTTTTCTGAAAGTCCTCTTATTGTCAGAAATCACCTGCTCCAAGTTCTTTACAGATGGTAGCCATTTTGTCAGTGCCAATGCCTCTTTTCATACATGTCAAAAGTTTTACAAATTGTCCAAACAAACATCTTGCTTCGAAATACTTCCAAGATTTTTAAAACACTATAAAGAAAGAAAGTACTAGTCATGTTTTCAATCAGGGTATTGTGTTGATTAAAAATAAAAATCCAAAGAGAAATATCTAAAGAAAATTGAGAAAAAAAATTCGAGGGTTTTTCAAATATAGTTTACAATTTTCATTCCGGATTCTTCGAATATCTTTAAAAAAAATGCACTCCGTTCCTTATTGGATTATTTTCTAAAAACGTCATTTGAAGATTTTTTTTTTCGGTTTTTCTTTATGCTCTACTTAATAACAAACAAGAGAATGAAAATGAAAACGTGTTTCTTTTTTATACTTTTGTTCTATAGTCTTTTATTTGATATTCAGAACCAGTGCCAAATATTTTCTCTCTCTTGTTTTTTTTTCTTGATTGATTTTTAGCGGCTGTATCAGATAGAGATTCAAGGAGAATAATGGCTTCTCAGGAGGTCCAGATCAAATCATGACAGCTACATTTTGGTTCTGTTTATTTCGTAAATCTAAAAACAAATATTACATTGACATTAAAGTCAGTGTTCCTTCTGACAGGGAATTTTCAGTACATATGAACGCAATAACGGTTGAAACTATAAGCAGACACAAAATATTTTTTCCCAAAGCAATGATCAAAATATTTACAACTTATAATTTAGTGCAGGTCTGCAAAATTAAAAATAATTGAAAGGCCACATTTCTTGTAGAAAATTCGCCGCAGGCCACAAGAGTGAATGGCACAAATGTAGTGACAGATTTCAAAAGATGCCTTAATCAAAAACACATATTCTGGATCGTTTTTGGATCAGCTGATAATAACTTCATCGTAATTGATCTGATGAAAGTGTGGTCACGGGATTTGAGTTAATCTCATAGAAGACACAAAATATGAATTTAAATCAAGACATTTTTTTTAAATGTTATTAAATGTAAAGTATTATTTACATTATTTACATTATTCGGACTGTTATCCTAATCTTCATTGTCATATTCACATCATTTCCACTAGGGTAGATTGTTCTAGTTCCACGTTCCATACCTCTTTCGGATGTCTCAGCTATTTCCCTTTAATCCAACTCTCCTAGGTTTTATGGTTCATCACTGCTATTCCCTGGTATTGAACTCACAACTCTTCAGGACTTAGTTACTGAATCTAACTAATGTCTTTATCTACTGGGCTATATTTCCTCGAGGAGACATGGCCCAGTGGATAAAGACGTTGGTGGACGAATAAAGGGTTCGATTCAAAATTTCAGTCACCTGAAGAAGGCCGGAACGTACAACGGCCGAAACGTTGTAAATATAATGTAAGTAATGTAAATAACCATAATACCTCATCTCAGAGATATGGGCAGAAAATATAAAGGAAGATTATATCGGGAAAACCAAACTGCCTTGGAAGCTTAGTTTCTGGTAGAACCGCCCAAGGTGTCAAGGTCGATGATGAGAGTGCAGACAAAGAACGATCTAACCTCTAAGACATCAATGGCTGACAAGCCGGAAGAAGTTATCAAATCCAACGGCTGTGAAGGTGGATGAAGGCTGTAATAAATCATTCAACTCCAATTGATTAATTGATCAGGAACAACCAAGAATCCATGGATTAGGCTTTGCCATCCGAAACAATTTCCTTCGAGAACTGACAGAATTACTTATGGGGAATCAATGAACGCTTTATGATTCTTAGAATACAGCTAGTCAAAAATCAACATATTGCCATCATCAGCGCTTATTCACCAACTTTGGACGGTAAACATGAGATCAAAGAAAACTTCTATTCTAGTTTGATATCATCATTCTCTCTACTCTCAAGGAAGACAAGATCATCTTTTCAGAAGCCTTCAATGCCAGAGTTGACAAAGATCAGAGAATATCTCACCAAATGAACCGAACATAACCTAGTGATCACTAAAACCCTGTTTCCTCAAAAGGTCAGGTAGAAATTCTATGACAACATCAGCGCTTTAAGCATTGGCATTTGATTGATTATGTCAAAAGGTCAGGTAGAAGTTCTCGTGACGACATCAGAGCTTTAAGCATTGGCACTTGATTGATTGTGTCAAAAGGTCAGGTAGAAGTTCTCGTGACAACATTAGAGCTTTAAGCATTGGCACTTGATTGACTATGTCAAAAGGTCAAATCGAAGTTCTCGTGACAACATCAGAGCTTTAAACATTGACACTTGATTGACTATATCATCGTTCGATCCCGCGATGTACACACAACGAGAACCCTTACTGGTGCCGATGGGTGCTCATCTCCTCAATTATTGAAATGAAGATCAAGCCCAAAAGAAAACATCAAAACACGAATAAATGTCATCCACAACTTCCAACAGAAACTTCGAGACAAACTACCTCAAAAATATCATTATCCGTTGAAAACCTCTCGGATCAACTGAAGAACGCTATTAAAGACATTATTGGATTCAAGATTAAGAGAAATCAAGACTTGTTTGATGACAATGATGAACATCGACAAAACTAACCTTCATTAAGTTGCAAAACGACAAACAGCCTACCACAAAAAGGAGGCTCTACCAACAGGCAAAAGGCTAGATGACCACCCAAAACCTGGAAGATCAATGGTGGATAGAAAAAGCTGCATCAATTCGCAGACACCCATGCCCTTCATTGCATCTTCCACGCTACAGAAACCATCTTTAGCCCTTATCCCACGCTCAAGCCCAACTGTAAAGTAAAGATGAATCAACAATATTGATGACCAAGATTGGCATCAATGCTAGATGGAGAGATCACTTTGAAGAATTACTGAACCAAACCGTCATAGGCAGAGACATCATGCCCTGTCTTCCAAGCCGTCCCAGAAGATTTCAAAGACTTAGCTATAAATTACCATCTATAGGAAGAAAGAAGACCCGATCGGTCTGCGGAAATTACCATGGAATCTCTCTATTCTCAACAGCTGGAAAAATTCTCACCCATATCATGAATAACCGACTCAGATCAGAAAATTAACCGAGTGGATCCTTCTAGAAACACAAGCCGATTTCAGACCATCCCGTGGAACAAAAATGAAATGTCGTGGACATCATCAATCCTTCTACATGGCATTCACTGTGATCACCAAAGTATTTGACTCTGTGTCAAGAGAGCTCTTAGGGGGCATTTTCTCCATATATGGTTGTCACCAAAAATACATCCATATCCTGAGGTTCCTTAATGATGACATGCATCCCACTGTCTAACCCGACAATGGCCAATGTGAACTGCTCCAAGTCAAATGTGGAGTGAAACAATTGTTTCAACTTTGTTCACCATCTTCATTGCAACGCTAATTGACACCAGAAAAGATGATCTGACCGCTATACGACAAACGGTAGCTTATTAAACCTTGCCCGTCTTCGACTCAAGACCAAAACACAAGTGAGTTCATAGATTGAGTTTCAATATGCAGATGACAACAGGGTTGCAACACTTTTTGAATCACTCCTTCAACAAAAACGGAATGCCTTCAAGATGCATACACCAACCGTGGACTAAAAGTCAACACAAATAAGACAAATGTCAACTATCAACCATTACCAACTGAAACAGTCCGGACAGAATGAAAGATCCAACTTAGTGAAACAGATTTGGAGAATTTGGATCACTCTCTTTATCTTGATAGTCATCTGTCCTCGAGCATTGAGTTTCAAGTTGAGATAAAACACCTTTACAAATGTGCAGGATCTCGCCTTCGAATAGAGTTTTCCAAGTCCGTGACATCAGAACAGGCACCACAATGTTAGTGTACAAGGCAGTAGCGATTCCAACTCTCCTGTATGCCTCTGAGACCCGGACAACTTATCGACGACATCTGAAATTCCTTGAATAATTTCGCCAGCACAGCATTCAAAGGATCTTAGGCATAAGTTGGGAAGACAGAAGAACTAACGTCAATGTTCTGGAACAAGTTAAAATGACCAGAAATTGAAGCCATCGTCATAAAAAATCAACTTCGATGGAGTACATATCCGGTGCGAAAGGATGACACCCGCCTACCAAAGCAAATACAGGGTGAGTCAAAATTATGTTAACACTAGTATGAGAGCAATCATTTATTCAGAGCTTACTGAACAGTCTCCAGCTGTCCACCAGCATAATTAATGCACAAAAACCAGCGATCAACTGTACAATTTAGTGCCTTGACACACATTTCACCAGGAATATTTCATATTACACCTTTTATTCTGTCCTTGAATTTTTCGATGTCTCTAGCTTTTGACCTCAATACACCCGATCCTTTATCCTATCCCATAACCAGAAATCACAGGTTGTAATTGTCCCATATTTATTTACAACTACAACGGTGACTGCAAATGCTTACCTACAAATTCTGCAAGAGTTTGCTATTAATAACATACCCTTACAAATCAGACGAGAAGGGTATTTACAACAGAATGGTGCTGTAGCAACTGCTATGTTTTTCCACGCGCACATTTTATTCGTCTGCGATTGGCTAATAAATCAATACTGCCTTTCTATAGGACAGTTTAGCCATCGCAGTTGTTGCTTTGAATTTTTTGGGTTGAACTTGCTTACTTGTTTCGTTAGTACAAATTTAGCGATTGGTCAAATTTTAACCAATCACATATTTTAGTGCAAAATCAACTTTTCCCGCGGTTTCGCTGGGAGCCTACCTGTAGCTTTAAAAGAGGCGAGTTTTTCACAAGCCTCCAGTAGAGTCCAGCAAATTTCGCCTGTCAACACAAACCTATGACTTTACTCACAACATTTCAAACGCACACACAGACACAGAATTTTGTAATACATATATACATATCTCTCTGTGACTCAGCCAAGTTCAATCAACCAGGACTCTGTTGATTTCTCTAATACAACACACCTTCTGATCAATTGTATTTTTGTGTTATCTATTCTAACAGAAGACTTGTTCTAACAATGATTCCTGAACATTTCTCTCTCAAGAGAATTTTTTTTTGAACAATCAATTACAAATCAAAAATACAGTAAAAGGGGAGCAACTTCTATTCCCTTAATCTATACATTGAATACAAATTATTGTATATTTGTTCTTGTATGTTATTTCAATATATACTTGTTGATTCACATTTGGAGTTTCGTTGTTTTCTTGAATCATTAATAATACGAAAAGATATATGCACAATGAACACGCGAAATAGTGCACCGCCTCATTTTGCCCGTACTGTTCGCGCTTGTAAATAAAACAAAAAATTTCCCAAATTGTTGGATAGATCGTGGCGGCCCGTTGGCATGGCCACCACACTTCCCTGGTTTTACACCCTGTGATTTCTGGTTATGGGGTATGATAAAGAATCGCGTGTATAGCAAAAAAGTTATAGTCGTCGAAGTACTCAAAGACAGAATAAAAGGTGTAATATCAAACATTCCCCGTGTGTCAAGGCACTAAATT